GAGAATTTGAGATTGATATTTGGAAATGAATTGTTAAAGGCAGGACTGACTCAGGAATTAAAAAAGGAAAAGGGCAGTGCTTATATATATTACTGTTCACAGATGATCAGATTTTGATACAAAACAGTCAGGATAATTTGGTGTTCAGTTTATATCTATACAGTATTGGTGAAACATAATCTGAAAATTTAAACTAAAAAGTTATGGCAAGTACTGTCTTCTGAGATGTGATGCCAGGTAGTCCACTGATGTCTCAGGAGGTCAAAGAATAAGAAAAGCAGGTGACCAGCAAAAAGCAGCAGCAATCACAGCTCTGTCAATTGGTTAAAACAGGAAAGTTTCTTAACACACTGAAGAATGCTAAAAATGGGCAATTTATATCTATGATCAGTATTCAGTAATGTGAAAATGAAACAAAACATGAGTCCTTGTCAGACGTAATGGATTCTGAGTGAAGATTTTTACCATCAGTTTTCATAGTCCACAGACAGAGCAATTTCTTGTTCAAATTTTAAGCAAACTCTAATTAAGAAATATCAAGACACATAGTAATGGCCATGAATATAATAATATTTCAAAAGTATACACAGTGTATGTGAAGTAAAATTTAATACTAAAGACAATGTAATTATACAATTTTTACTTCGGTAATGTTAGTGATAGACATGCAACTGCCAGACCTTTTGCAGTGTCAAGATATGATGGCCATAGTTTCATGACATATACAAATCTAGCTTAAAATAAGAAGAGAGCTGGGCACCGAATATCACATGATATTTCCTTTTGTGTGAAATATTCAGCAGTAGTGCATCCAAAGCAAAGGCAACAAGTATGAGTGTCAGTATATCATGAATAAAAATGAACCAAAAACAAACTCAATTTGACATCTCCTTGTAGTGTATGAAACATCTGACAGTCCACTGAAATATAATGACATTTAGGAAATATATTAAGTCACATCAAACATAATGACAGTATGAGTAACCATTGAACAAATTCCATTAAAAAATTCCACAGTCAAGACTTTTCAAATACAATACTTCATAAATTAATAATATACAAGAACCAATCTTCAATCATCAGTTCACATATTGCTTTGATTTATCACCAAGAATTCTTCTGACTGGGGCCAAGACAGAAAAACGGTCAATAGTCAAAATTTCAGCTTCAACCAAACTTCGAAGCTGGGCCAAGTTTGGTAAGTTTTCACAGGATTCAACATTCAGAAGAGCAGAAAAGAACTGCTCCCACAGATGTCGTTTGGAGTACCTGAATAAAACAACATCATGTATAACTTTAATGAGCCTCACAATTACAAATGTAAATATAAAGTAAAGTTTTAAAACATTGATTCTCAAATTGACAGTTCGTAAATTTAAGTGTTCTTTATTCAGTGTTAATTCTATTAACCCATTTTATATAATGGAAGTATTATCACAACAAATACTGTGATATTCAAGAAAAGAATTATGTTGTGGATCATAGAGTAAATTCCAGAACCAAACTTCTTTTTTGTTCTCTTGAATATGCTGCTAGTAATAGACAAAATGGCTGACCATTGGCATCATACATTTGAGTAGAATGCCAAAGCTGTGCTTTTGTTTGTTGAAAAGATACTGTAACTGCTACCTAGAAAAGATTTTGGGAATTCGTTGGAACACCTGCATGAAACAGTGTACTTCTTTTGTCACAGTAGCTTGAGCAGGGAGGCAGTGCAAATGAATGGAAACATCTTTGAATGGCTGGCATTCATTCTCCAAACAATGCTGCATTTTCCAGGAGGATCAATCACAAAAGGAGCCACTGAACTCATACTGTCTTAGCAATTAGTTCAGCAAATACTCAAACCTGATTTGAAGATTTCTCTGTGAAACATGCCACTGATGCATGAAATATCATACAAGATAAGCAAAGAAGACTTGACTTCACAATATAGGGAGAAATGGAAAATGCCATATTACATATCATGTGGTTTTCATACAAAGCTAATTTTCATTAGAACTGGATAATGAACAAACATTATGTACACTTTGGGCAACAGAACATATGTATCAGTTCCACAAGAAAAGAAGGCATGGGAAAAAAGGGCCTACATGGATGCCCTGTCAAGCATGGTTTCATCGGTCCCCTTTCCTCCAATAAAAGAGTCAACTCAAATCAACATCTGGAAATGCTGCAGAATAACATCATAATGAAATTTATGACAACTCAGCTGCCTATGGGTAACCAGCAGTTTATTCAACATGGTGCTGCATCACATGCTGCTCAAGTTATGCTGGATATTCTGCACACTTTTTTCAACAGTCACACAATCTCACATCAGAGTCCTGACCTTCATAGATCAACAGCTGTGGGCACTTTTAGCCATTCCTCAAACCAGAATCTAATCCATGGAAACTGCTCTTTGGCGATTCATGAAAGAAAAGTTGTTTCCAGTGAAATCAGATAATATGATGGACTTAAGTCATGACTATCCAACTGTGCTAGGAGATTTTCAAAGATGTGAATTCATGTCATTAGAAATACTGGTCATACCTCAAATAATTTCAATAAAGTGGTGGTCATATTGAACATACAATTGAACTGAAGACATTTCTCTTGAAATTGTGTACCAACACCTGTAAAGAAAGCAGTCTTCTGGGATTTGGCACCGTGTATATGTGGTGTTAACCGACGTTTCGGAGGAACGTATCGCCTCCACCTTCAGGGTAGAAGAAAAAATATAAGAATTCTGCAAGCGAAGAGACCATGAGAACCGGTAAAAGCAGACTGTGTGGGGATATACACAGCTATGTGAGANGTAAACTTTGTAACATTTGATACTTAAATTAATTATTACTATTAAATTTTCATGTGTCAGTATTTAACTGTACACTCATATTTATTTGAAACCTATAATAAGGTACAGTCTTACCTTGAAATTGACTGCTGAATAAACCATCGACCATCCCTTTGCTTGCGAACTTTCATATACTGACTAAAATAAACACAGTGCATTGTGCCAGCAATTCCATACAGATCTGTCTGTAATACCAAAGCATATAATACATAAAAGTAAAAATTACACTAAAACTTTTCTTGATAAGGGATATCTCTGTTAGTTTTGTGAAGATACGTGTACTATGGAACTTCTAAGGTACAAGTAGTTTAAGGTAGAGGGCATTTTCAAACCTTTAAACACGTGTAGTGAGATGAAGATTACAGAAAAAAAAAATAGAAGTAGAATGGTACAGCAATAACTTAGTTAAGAAATTCAATATAGCCTGCACTAAAAACAGAAACAGTTCATTATTTTACACATAAATTTGAAGCACTTAAGTTATATATATATATACACACACAGAGTGTCCCAGGAGGAATGGACCAAACTTCGGGAGGGTGTTCCTTATGTTAAAGTATGCCGATATAACCCAAAACACCTATGTCCAAAGTTGAATGGTTACGGAGATAATGGCCCGAGAAAAGTGTGGTCTTCTTGCAGGTCCACACACTATACGTACCTGTCAGCTGAGACCCTTATCTGTTTGTCCTTGAGTGCTGTGAGTCACTAGCTGTAAGTTCATGCGCTACCTACCAGAGCCTACAGATTACGTTGCGGCGGGGTCGTGAATGGGTGGTAAATTAGTTGTGTGATGAGTTGCTGAAATGCCTCTTGTGTTTTCACACGTGGAATATTGTGATATGCATTTTGTGTGTGGATTTTGCGGTCGCAATGCACGTGCTGCTGTTGAAGAATACCAAAGGCGTTTTCCCGATCGAAGGATTCCATCTCGAAGTGTATTTACGCGAATTCACCAGACATTGCGTGATACTGGTTCTCTTGCAAGTGTTTCTGTGCACTCTGAAAGGCAGGATGTACGAATGATAGACACACGAGAGCACATTCTTGATATTGTTCAGTGAAGTCCGCGTCTATCACTCGTAGAATCGCCTCTCGCATCGGCGTATCACGTATTCAGGT